GACCCCATGGATCTGTTGACCGAATTGTAAGACTCTTTAAATATCATAGATCTGATTCAGAGCCTTTGCTAATCCCCTTTGGGATTTCTTGTTTTGTTCTCTGCGCTTAAGAGGCATGATTTCCCTTCACAGAGCTCCCTGCTATCACCAGCACAAGCACTGATGTGCCCTCAGTTGAGTAACATACCCAGAGTATGTGCACAAATGTGTCACAGGTTATACCCAAACTGCCTCTTCTTTGCTCTACCAGAGAGACTTAAAACCTCCCAAGTGGCATCTTTTACAGTCATTTTACATGAGAAACAGGTTTCATGCTTTCCTTTCTCATCTACTCAGCTATTCCTCTATCCAAATATTAATTCCCCCTCCTGTGTATTTGCTAACCTTCACAACCACCTTCTTTCACAAGACTATCTTTCACCCAACACAGTCTCTGTCACGCTCAGAGTCACTGACCCACAAATAAAGGACTATTTTCTGATGGAGCCTTATCTCACAGACTTGGAGATTTGGTCTAGCCCAATGGATTTGTCCTTATGGTTCAAGCAAAACACATTTCAGCCTCTGATGGCAGACATGTGGGATTCCTCAAGGTACATCAGTAATGGAAGGCATGCTCTTAAAAATGAGCACCCCACATCACCAGAGAAAACACAACCCATCCTTCTCTTTCATGTATTAAATCTCTTTTTGATAAGAATAAATTCCGATACAGCCTCTATACCTGAGCTGGGATTTCTGGGGGAATTAGGATAGCCTGAGAACATCTGCTGTTCAGATCCACTATTTCAGACACTGCATTGAAGATTTGAACTTTATTACCTGTAAAATCTGGCCCAAAAGAAAGCTGGCTCTGGATAGGCGAGGGCTGGTTTTTGGGTCATTCGGCTGGGCAGGCTCCTCTGGCTGCAATGTATTCTATCAAAATTAACACAGGAAATTTTCTTCCCCACCCTCTTTTTTATATATTTTTTTTTTTATCATAACAACTGAGAAAAAAAAAACAAGCAAAAGCAGATACTTTATATTTCCAGTTAAAGGGATACTAATTGAGATCTATCCCAAATACAATGTTCTAAACAAACTGCAGACATAGCATGGTCTATGCTGAGAAACCCTGCTCATTCACTGCTCTTCCACATTCCCTTTTTCACAGGAGACTGCTCTCCACACCTTAAGAAAGAGGTAATTTGTGCACCAAGACAGAGCATGCAAAGCTCTTGCTTTCACCAGCACCTCTGCCAGTGATCTCTGTCCCTCTGATCAGTGGGGACACAAGTACAGAAGGAATGTGTGACATTTAACCTTGACTGAAATCAAGTACAAGCACTGTCTACCTGCCTCTGCAAATGTTAGAAGCATATGTGTCTCCCAGACTCTAAAAATAACTTATGGTAACTAATACACCCAGAAGGTAGTTTTAATTATGTAAAGATGGAACTTTTGAGTCTAGAGAAAGAAAAATCAAATTATTTTGACTGATGGAAAAGGAGCTATTGTGTGTGAAGACCTGATAATCCCAGTTGTCTCCATAGCTTGTAAATTGGAAGAGACAGGTCTTTCTAGTATGGGACAACGGGCTCTGTGGGTTAGAGGTTTATTCACAACAGGAGAGACATAATTCTGATTATTGACTCTAAGGACACAACTTCCTCCTCATGTACATATGAAAGTGCATTGGAGGTTTACAGGCTGAGAAAAGTGGAAAGGATTAACTAAAACACAGAACAGAGATTTGACTTCTAAAGTGTGCTCCCTCATAGCTGGAAGGGTTAATTGTGAGTCAGAGCTACGTTCACTGCCAGGGACAATATTATTTAAAGTAAACATAAGGTACCCATTTCCTGGCACAATCAAAACCTACACAGAGTGTAAACAGGACTTTCTGTAAACTGATGATGAAAACGGAAAAATGAAAAACAAGTACCAGGGAAGTATCAGGTGTTAAAAAGACCTTGTTTGTACATACTTACCCGGAGTGCCCGAAGGGTGTTATAGGAGTTTTCTGTCTCATCTTTGCTTCCTCTGTGCATCAACCGCTGCAGCTTCACCAAAAGAAGTTGCTGGGCTCTGAAAGAAGGAACGGAATCGCATTGATCAAGACATTTTTGAAACCACTCAAAAGAAAGCTGGATTGTAACGGCTCTGTGCCTACAGAAAGGATTGAATAGAAATAGCAGTGAGGACTGACTGAACCACGCAGTAAATGCAGGAACAAAATAATGAGCAGGACTGCAGTGCAGTTAAGGATTAAAGAATCTCCACGGCATATTTTCACATGATACTTTTTTGAGTAACCCACATTATTCTTTCAAGTAACAACTGGAATCTCTTTTCTACATCTTTATAGCTTGTATTACAGTTTAACATCACCAGCCCTTATGTCAAAAATTAAGACATATACCTCTTTCCTTACAGCAGTCATTCATGTCCCTGTTCACAGAGCCACTGCTCTCACTCGTGGTCACTCAGCATCACACTCACCTGCTGTAGCTGGGGATGGTCCCCATTTCCAGGTCTCTGTCCGTGAATGGATCCACCCTGGCACAATGCCACTCACACCTGCCCTGGTACATGGTGTCCAGGATGTGGACGATCTCATCACACCTCACGGACAGGGAGCAGCAGTCCAGCTGGCTGGAGATGTTCAGGTTCAGGCGGATGTGAAACGAGTCCCCCGACGTGATCAGCCCTTCCTCCAGCTCCGACAGCAGCTTCCTGTAACCTGCAGTAGTGAGGGAAGGGGTGAAGCAGGATCTCACACCACGGTGTTGCTGCATTCCCGGGAATCCTCTGTGAGAAGCCACAGCACAAACTTCTGAGGCTCCTCTGAGAGGGGGTCACTTGCAGAGTGCTGGTTACACTGGTTGCAGCAAGGTCGTGGGCCTGCCTCTTAGAGACACCAATGGGGCTCAGGGACAGCTCATGCTGTTGGTGTCAGATCTGTGAGAATATTCTCATTCTAATGCTACTTTTAGGGAACTCCATTTTCAGTACTCCACCCATGACCTATGAAACCGAGAACTCAGCAGACACAGACACAGCCATAGCTCCATCCTCTAAGTACAGTGTGAGTTCTGCCACCAATTTAATGACAAGCTATTCTCCTTATTATTAGCTCTAATTGGCACTCCCAGAATCTATAACATGCTTTATCTGCAGTTAAGTGGTGCTCAAAAAAAATAGCAATAGTCTTTCCTATGTCTGAAAACATCAAAGAAAATCAAAGACATCACTTTGTGTGTGATCTATGCAGCTGAAATTCTCTAACCAGCACAACACCCTCCCCAAAAAAAACAAAAGCCAATTTACACATACAAGTAAAAAATGGATTTTGGAACGTAACTTTTGATCCATAACCTGAAATTATCATTATAGGCCATGAACACAAAAATCAAATTGTGTTTGCCAAACATGAACTCCAGCTGTTAAAGATAAGATAAAGCCACAAAGGTAATAAACAGGGCAACTCCATCAGGTAAATGCTAAATCGACCAGCTGGATAAAGATCACTCAGCTCACCACATTGTATTGCAGAAAACTGTACATAAAAATAAGCTTGAATGTGTTTTGTGATTCATGTCTTCATTGGCCCACCATGTAAATTCTTCAGAATCCTGTAGTGACAAGCATATGGGCTTTTTTTGTTCTCAGTCACAAGGCTAAAAGCTGGAACAGTTCCAAAGAGGAGTTGTAATTAACACCAGTGGCATTCTCCAGATTTATCCCAATACAAAGAATGTTCTGGTTTTGTCATTCTCTTCCAGACAGGTTGCTGTAACAGACCTGGGACTATTTGAGATAAGAAATATTTCTGGTCTTACCTTCGTGATTTGATTTATACTGGAGTGTTACTGGACCACTGCACCTCTGAATTGTCCAGTGAACTTCTTCCTTTGTGCAAGTATCCAAGGGAACACTCTGATTTTCCCCTTTAATGCAGCCCTCCAACTAGATATGAAAGAAATATTACTTTCCAGTGCAGGTTCAATCTCTAAGTCAATTATACCATTTTTTTTAAAGTGCCATAATCTTTTTCTGATTAAACAATGCAGACACTTTGCTATTGGGATGTAAATTATGTTGTAATTATTTAATATCTTTTCTCTCAAATTAGGAATGCCAGAATTCAACAGAACTGCAGCACTTTGGCAATCCTGGGTTTCCCAGGAGTAAGTAGTGCAGGAATATAAATTGTGGGGTGGGGTTTTTTCCCCCTTGGAGGCATTTTAATAGGAAAATGTTTTGGGAACATTGGCAATAGAGAGAAAACTGAGCAAAGAGAAACTTAGCAGGAGCACTGTTGAATTTATGTGAGACCAGGGACAGCATATGTAGGCGGTCGGACATCCAGAACTGTTTGGTGATGATTTCCAGCTCACCAGGAGGATTTGGTGGCCCTCCCGAAGTCCAGCTTTCTCCGCAGGTGATCCTGTCTTGACAGAGCTGATGAAGCTCCCCCTGTCGTTGCCCCCCACTAGGGTGATCTCGGAGTTGAGGCTGTCCCCGTTCAGCGTCACGCGCTGGATCGCGTGGCACGAGTTCCTGAGGCGGCCCACGGACGTGACAGAGGGACGAAAGGGCCTGTGGTCACAAAAGGAAGTGACAGTTACCTCAGTCTCAGTTAAATGCATGATAAATGAGGGACAATCAAGCACTGAGGTCTAAGGGGTCTAACAGAAATCCTTCTCGATGCTGCACAGGTTCTGGAGAAGGGCAGCTGGACAGCTTCAAGTGCTCTGGCATGACTGTGTAACTCAGTGTATAACAGTACTCTGCTCAGCAACCTCTTGCAGCAAGACAGCAAGATCACAAGGATAAATTCAAGCCTTTAGAAAATTTTGTCTGCCTTGAAGTTTTTGAAGTTTTAGGATGGCCTTTGTGGATTTAGAGGACATGAAAGGGCTCCAAGATGACATGTTATACTGCCACCATAAAGAAGCAAAGACTTAGCACAGTATCATAAGGTATTTGTGTCAAATAACAACTTGTGGCATCATTCCTGCCATATCTTCAGCAACTAATAGATAAATAGAGGACCTCTACCATAGCAGGCTGTCCCCTCAGTTTCTGTCAGCCCAAATACCTTTCCAGAGAGAACTTCCTAAACAGGGAGTTGACATGCTCAAGGTCATAGGCATCCAGGCCTTCTGACTGATGAGAAGAAGAGGAAGAGTGCACTGAAGGAGCTCCATGTGACTGCCTGTCATGACTGTCATCTGGAAAGAGAAACAATAATGAAAATGAGTCCTAGATAGAGTGACAAAAATGCAAAAGAGGAAAAGGAATGTTTGATTGGTCCCAGCCAAAGCTGAAGGAGGAAATTCCTAATGCAGAAGCACGATTCATATCTGCAGGACACAGCACAAGGAATGCCAGTCTTGCTTACTGGACCTTCCTGATCACTGTCACAGAACAGCAAGTGGGAAGGGGGCTCTGGAGACTATCTTGTCTAAGCCCCTGTTCAATGCAGGGTCAGCTCAAGGAGATTGCTCAGGACTTGTCCAGTTGGGTTTTGAATATCTCCAAGGACGGAGACTAGTCAACATCTCTGGACAACCCTGTTCCAGTGTTTGACCACCCTCATGGTAAAAAAACTAACCCACTCAGTTCTTCAGGAATAACTACTTTCTCATTCTCACCACTAGCTGACCCTTTGTTTTCTTGATTTATTCTCAGATTGTGTGTCCCATTATTTAGAGCAGGAGTTGGTTATTTGCCAGTCTCTGATTAGCTGGGGAGCTAATCACACAGATCTCATAGTTCAACTACACACGTGATATCCTCTTGCTTACCATCCAGCTCCAAAGCATCACATCCAAAGCTGTCATTGTCCTCTTCAACCAGGCTGGAATTAAAAACAAAGCATGAGATAATGGAAGAGAGAGAGAGAGAGACTGAAAGCTGTTCACTTGCCAGCTTTCAGCAGATTTCCAACCTCAGCAGATTTCATTAAGTTCTGAAGGAGGAACTTCTGTGAAAAAGGAAGAAGTTGGAGGTGTTGCATCAGGCAATGGCACAGCTGCAGAAAATCAAGCCAGCAATGTACTTGTGGGTCCAGGGAAAATGAGGGAAAATGGCAGGAAGACAATATGTGTCAGCCAAGATGGGAAGCATGGGAAGCAGCAAGAAGGTTCAGAGGGAAGAACTGCTAACAGCAGTGAGAGAATGAAGACCTTGCTGAAGCCAAAGGGAAGCTGCTGACTGATGGTCTCATGTGTGACTCACACCACATCTGCTTCAGCACTGAGATAAATGGCTGCATAATGCCTGCTGCACATACCATGGGCTTTTTCCAAGATACATCAAAAATGTCAGAAGCTCACTGATGGACAGAGTGAATGCAAGGGAAAGGACTGAGGTGCAGCAGTAAAGGAGTAATTCACCCGCTTGATTTAAAACCCTCAAAGCATTTTATATCAGTTTAATGGTACCTCACACCGTTACTGGGGTACCTACAGTACAGAATGAAGGTGTACCAGGCACAGAAACTGCCCCAGCTCTGCTCCCAGTCCAGCTCCCACTGACACAGCCCTTCCTGTGAAAGGTGGCTAAATTGGTTGGCCTTAAAAACAAACAGTCAAAATTCACCAAAATTTTTCTCTTCCAGGGATATTGGGGCTGTCCAGCCAAGTGAGTGATCTGCCTGCTTCCCTGGAAGGACTTCATTAAAGCATGTCCTTTGGTTGCAAAGCTGTTTAAATAACAGCTTGTTGTTTTGCCCATTCAGAATGATTTGTAGGTCTCCTGTGGAGCTGATATTCCTCATATTTGGCTTCAGATGAAGGGTGAATTTTTGCAGCCAGGCTGCAGAGAGTCAGCTATTTTTATACCATGCATAAGCAGAGAAATAATATACTTTTTCCTACATTAAGTGATGATCTCACATTTTTTTTCCCCCACACAAATTAAGATCAGATGAACTGTAAAACCTGTATCTCGGCATGCTAATAGCAAGTATTTGGTATTATGTTGACAAATAAGTTAAAAAAATTTACCAGGCTAATTATAAAGTTATAAACTACAGTGAACTTTTGGGCACGTTCTTGAGATACTTGACTTTAGTGAAGCTCAATAAAGATTACATTCAGACCTTGCTCCAGGGTACCTTTTCCTTCCACATGTTGGTGGGAAAGAGTATCTAAGGGAAAATTCCAGATTCCACTACAACTAAGTCTTCCAATGCCTTAACTTATGGAACAGACTATAGTTAGAGCTACAGTGAAATAAGTCCACAAGATGAATAATCTCCATGTAATCTGTACTGCATTCTGTAATATACTGCAAATATTGAAAACTTCAGGCATGCCAAAGGCATCTCAAGCACCTGAAACATGAACCATTCAAATCATTAATAAAACAACCTTTTTTCTCCATCTTGAATTAATACAGCACACTTAAAAAGGGGACTTGGAGGATGATATAGGAGAAGCTAAGGGAGACTAGAATAAACACTGCCTAAATCCTCAGCAGCCTAGAATATTATAAGGGAGAACCAGCTGAGGATGCCCTCAATGGAAAGCTGCCTTGCAAAGCTGTCCAGAAAGAGAGAGGCAAGTGACTGTCTGCCCAAAATCAGTTTTGAAAAACATAAAAATCTGAATAAAGTTCTAACAAAGATTAGATAATAAAACCAGATCTAATAAATATTCAAACCCCTCACATGTATTGCTTTCTTCTAAATTGCTTTGCTTTGGTTTTTTTCCTCCTTCTGCTTGGGACCTTGGGGGACTGTATTTGTATCTTCTGATGTTTCTGATACAAACACTGATGCCATTGACACCAACACGGTGTGGCATTGCTACAAACCTTTCAGAAAAGGAGTCAGTGCCATTTAGGGAACTGTGAGGCAGGAGAGGTCTCTCTCCTTCCTGCCACCGACTTCCCACTCACCAGCTGATCTGATTTCTATGCCAGGGGAAGTCCACAGGGCCGTGACCCCACACAAGTGGAAGCTGCAGCAGAAGGTGAAGCCGAGGGCGATGCCTCTCTCTCCCCTCATTGCTATGCTGAGATACAGAGCCCTGAGCCTGACAAAAACCACCTCCCTCCTCCACTTCTCCCCCCTGTTCTTCACAGCCATTCAAGCAGCTCTGCTCTATTTTGGCAGCTTTACAGAGCAGAAGGAGGGGCTCTGAGAGAAGGGGAAAGGACAGGGACAGACACAGGCAGCAAAACTGAAGCTGTACCGGTGTATGAACATAGAGCACTGTCTCCAATAGCACTGGTGCCATTTCAGTACTATCTCTATTCATGTACATTAAGAAGTCACTGTTGCAGGGGTATCACTATCATTCATCCCAGCTGAGCTATCAGAGACCCCTGAGTGTTTTGGACAAGATGTGGGATGAAGGACTGTAGCCTTGAGAAGTTTAAGCAAGTTAATCCTGCCGCCTTATAGAAGCTCCTCAACTGGAGCCAGACACAAGGACATCTGTGGCCCTTTCTGCCTTCTCCTTGTGACAGCAGGTTCCAGACATGTTTCCCTAGTGTGGAGACCCACCTGCAATGAGGGGCGTCCTCTTTGCACCGCCGGACTATGGAATCATTTCCTGGAGGCTCGGGAGTGGTCGACATGATGCTGTCATTGCGATTCCTCAGCGCTTGCTTTAAGCAAAACACCAAAAAGGTGTCAGCAAGGTTATCCGTCTGAAATGTGCTCTCATTTCTAACTCACAGCTGCATTAGCCTGTGGTCCTCCGCACACGACAGTAAGAAAAATTGATTCTGGCTGTGCAGAGTGCTGCATACAGGAGCATTCATATATTGCAGTGTCTCAGCACTGTGCACAGCTTGGGTGCTGGCACTGTACCTTTTCCTGGGACCACAGGGCTGCCTGATTTACTAAACCATTGTAACTTTACCCTTGATGTGTGCATGTGTTGCACAGCTGACATAAAGGATGAAGAGGATGCAAAGCAGAATGTATGCGTATTTATATATATATAAATAAGGAAGAAGAATACAGATCTCCATACATTAAATTATTAATCTCCCAGTACACTGAAAACTAAACTTTGAATTGTAGGAGAGGGAAGACAGTGTAAATCACCTAAACATCCAATAGATATTCCAAAGAATATTCCTAACCCTGCTAAGCTTATTAAAAGTGGCAGGGAGTTCTTTCCTGGCTATTCTTGAGCATAATTTTAATTTCCTGGGGGCAGCATTTTTCACGGTGTTCTAGAAAGATGTTTTGTTCTTTGTTATTAACACTCTGCGAGAGCACTCTCTCTATCTGGTTGTCCTGCTGTGTCAGTGCTCACATATGTATAATGGAATATCTACCTTGGGAGATTATGGGGATACAGCAAGCAGGGAAGAAATGGTTTGAGTATGGTATGCAGAAATTTCCAACTGTGATCTGCACCCCTTTTCTCACTCACTGATACTTATAGACAGGAAAGGCATTAGGGAACTCAAAAAATGCTGAAAATTTTCTTAAATAAGTTAAAAAGCAGCTTTGAAAGCAAATCTCTTTCTTCTAACAGTAAATGTGAAATGGCATAAGGAGACAGCGAGAGGTCATAAATACCTTTGAAACATCTTTAAATAAACATAAACCAATTCTGTTATTTTGGAAAAGGCTAATAACAGGTTCTAACAAAATGCTGGTAAAAGGATTAAGGGAGCCGCTGACAAGGGCCTTGAACGTGATCACAGCTGGGATGCTGGGGAGTGCTAATGCTAGGTTGTGAGAGCTCTGAGCTACAACAGGAGGAACAGTCTAGACAGGCCGGGGCACGTGGAGGCTCCTTACAATCTTGCTGACTTCACAGCTGCTGATGGAGACAGAAGAACTCGTGTCCGTGCGGCCGTTGCTGGCGTCGGCCCCGTCCTCGTCCTGCGTTCTCACTGCTGCTCTCGTGGGAGACAGGGAAACACAGACAGCACAGGAAACCAGGTCAGATCACTGCCCATGCAGAGTCTGTCACAGATGTGCAACAACACTTCGGTTATCTTCCCATTTGATCTTGTTTCCTTACCCTGTACTGGACACACTCTGTGCCCTGCAGCTCCGGTTCCCTTTCCTTTCCCATCAGCTCCCAACAATGCACACAAAGACCCAACACCCTGGACAGACTGTCTCTCAGCTCTGCCCTGTATGTTTTTAATAGATCTATGAATGCTGTCTGCAGATTGAAGAAGGATTGTTTCATCAGTTTGTGTTGTAACTTCATCTCCTGAATCTGGCAGTCTGCAATAAGGCTGACTCACTGATCATGCTTTTTTTCATAACAAAAAATTCACAGCATGGTCCAAGAAGCCTGAGATCCCTCAGCAGCTCCAGAAAAAACAGTGTCAATGTCTTTGTGGACTCCTTTCCTTCCTCACCACCTCTGATTTGTACTAGTGATGCTCATTGCCTGATACCAAATCTACTATTTAACATGGAATATCTTGGAGCAGAAACAGTGTTTCCCACCATATTTTGTAAAAAACAGGGATCCCACTGCCACACATAACAAGTGAAGGAAGTGCTGCCTACAATGGTGTTTGGTTTGAGAGCAGTTTTACATAAATAAGCGGAATTAGGAGTAGTTCAAACATGACTATACAGCAACAAACTTGGTAACTTGGCAGCTGGCTGGTGGGTGGGTCAATCACCCTCCCCCAGCCTTTGCAATGCTTTAGATTTAAAATTAATTCCCTTTTGCTGAAGGACAAAAGAACTCATTAGACAATGACTTGATGAGGGCCTTTTCAGCTTGAATGATTTTTCCAACAGCAAAGGGAGAATGGTATAATGACTTCTAGTACAGATGTTACACAAATGACTTTAAAATTTTTGTAAACTTAAAGGGAAAATCAAGTAAACAGAAAATCTAGGTAAGCTATGGGATGCAGTATTTTGTGTGTCTGTGGAGTTATCTTTATATGGAGAGGACATTCAGAGATAACAGTAGACTACTTTATATTATGACACTTGTAACTATGAGAGAAACTGCCTGTTTTACTGACTTGGACTTAGTTAAGACTTTCCCTGGTTGGCATATTTGTTAAAACAACTTAAAGAGATTAAGTGAATGAGACAAAGCAGTGGAAAAGGAATAAGGACATGGATGCTCTTTCTGACCTTGAAACTCTGATGTTTTGTTCATGCTGACAGGGGATTTAGCTCTTGGACTTATCTAAAAGAAAGAGGACAAAAATCAGCACAAATGCAGAATACTTGCCACACACTGTAAACCAGATATTTTCACCCTTTTTTTTTTCTTCGCTGTTATGCTGCAATATATTTGCCCTCCTTTAAACAACAGAACCCCAAATTCAGAAGATATTTAGCTATTTGAATGCCATGGCAGCCATCTAGGGTTGGCTACTTGACTGCTTTGGAAAGTCTGGCCCAAATGCCTTGCAATTTCCAGATTCTGCCGAGGGAACAAAGAGACAAAAGGTGAATTGGGTGCCTTGGGACTGGTTTCAGGCAGCTGTTAATACAACGGGCATCATTTTGGAGGGCGCAATGTGAAAAATGCAGCTCTGTTGCCATAAGTAATAATGACAGTCAGAGCTCAGAAAGGTTATGAAGGGCAGGAACAATTCAAACGCAGATAAAAGGAAAGGGAACCTCAAAACCCCGAATGTTAGATTTTATATTTTTTACAATTCATGAATGTAGCATTAGGTAATAGCTGTGTGAATGCAGCTAGTCAGGGAAATCACGAACCTAACCCATGCTGCCCCTTCTTCTTAGGGGAGAGGAAATTGCCATAATTTAATTCTAAATTAGACAGTTAATTTTGCTCTAGATTGTGTCCATTTCTTTCTATTTTTCCTTCCAGCTGATGTGAGCTTTTTCGCCAATGCTTCTTTTTTCTCCTTCAGTGTGTGTTGGACCTTGGGCATTATGTAATTTTTTTCCCACTAATGTTAAGGAGGCAAAGAATCAATTTATTGACAGTGTTCCAAGAACGTGAATGAACAGCAGAAGCAAGATGAAAACACAAAATGGCCTATGAAGCCTGATTATATCTGCTCCTCAAGATGCAAATCACCACAGTGCAAAAACCAACAGCTCACTATCAGACACGAAACAATTCTTATCTTTACACCACAGCCCTTTCAGAGGCGACCACAACATGTGTTATATCTGTTAGTTCTATCAGTATCAACATATCATTCCAGCCTCACATTCAGACACACCTGGATTCCCTTCAGATTCAGTCTTCTCTTGAGACGAGCTTGATCAGGTAAGAAGAATTTGTTGTCTTCTGGAGAGTCTTCAGAAGTGGAGGAGTCATCGGCTTCCTGACCGTTGGCTTTTGGGCTGGAATTCCCGAAGGTCTGGGAGATAATGGTAATGGGTAGATTCCGTGGCAAACTCTAAAGATCACAAGGAAACACTTTACTTCTGAGACCAGTTTGGTACAACTCATGACCTTTCTTTAGAGTAATCTGGCTGAACGTGTTGTGACTCCAGTGCCTCAGAAGCTCACGCAGAGCGCGGCGCCAGACCCAAATCAGTAATTTAGATTATTTGTGGGGATTCCTGTTCACTGGGGCATGTTCCTCAGAAGTATTTGTAGTTTCTATCCCAGTGTAGAAAATAATTGGTTTGTTGCATTTCATTCCCTTCCATTTAAAAATCAAGCTGTGAAATTCCAGCCTTTGGGAAACCACATCCATGACAGACAACCTGAACCACACTACAGAGAACAACTCACAACATTCACATTTAGTAGGAAGAGATTATTTTTTTCAGTTAATTCATGGAGAGAATTAAAAAAGCCCCCTCTCCCTTCCACACCAAAATGTTTGTAAAAGCAAGCCTTAACCAAAGAAATCACACCTGTGTTCCTCAGCCCTACCTGGTCGAGGAAGTTGTTGTCCTTGGAGAGCCGCCGGAGTTTGCACTCCAGGTTGACAATACACGCTTCCTTCCGAACCACCTCGATCCGGAGCTCGTCATTCCTCTCCTCCAGCTCTCGGATCTGCTTCCTGTACTTATCCTTCTCGATCAGACAGTGTGAGTACTGCGTCTGAGCCTCGTCGCGCGAGCGGAACGCCTGCGGTGGGGAGGAGAAACCTCTTCGGCACCTGGGCACCAGACACTTCTCCTGCTGGGTTTGTTTGTGAGGTGTTTGGAACAGGGACTTCAGAACTGGCACCCAGTCACCAATTAACACAGCAGTAAGGAGCTGGATGTGCCACAGCAGAACCATTAAAAATTATGATGATGAGGGTGGTTCATTTACAGCTCCCTCTTGGCTGGTGGGAAAATGCTCCAGAGTGCAAATGGGGTGACTTAACACTGACATAAAGCCTTGCAGTGGCTGTTGTTAAGACCTTGGTCCTGCCTGCCAGATGCTACACAGTGGAAACAACCAATATTATCCTATGCTTAATTACTGTAATGCAAATTCCAACAAGTAATTCTTTTAACTGCTTATTTTATAACGGTATTTTGGGCCCAATTACCCACAATTCCCCAAAGTGACACAGAAGAGATGGAGGCTTTCGCTACTGATTTCCCCCACTTTAACTGTTAGATACCTGGTCTCGCTCCTTTTCCACCTCTTCCAGCTGTATCATCACAGTGTTCATACGGTGCTTGTACATCTCACAGTCTTTTCCTAGTGTTGAGCACTTCAACTCCAAATCCTCTTTCTCCTCAAGGTACTGGAAATGACACACTGTTAACCACCACTGCTCTCAGAGGCCTTTTGGGCACCATCTCTCTCCCCTTCCGCTTCTCACCTTGTCTCTCAAGTCCTCCACGTGACGAATCTCCTCCTGGAGATTAAAAATCTTGTTGACCAGCTCATGACGATCTTCCAGTGCCTCCTTACGGTCGTGTTCCAGAATATCCAGAATGGCTTTGTCCGAATCCGGCAAACTCCGCTTGTCAGCCTGAGGAAAGACATTGCCATGAGCCAGGCCAGGGAAACAGAAGACACCATTGCAAGGAGAGAAGTAACAGGGACAGTAACAAGCAAGAGGAATAGAAAATGAACAAGGTATTGCAGTGGGAAAGGAGGAGAAGAGATAGACATCTGTTCATATTTTAAAACAGTGTCAGAAAAGATAAATAAAGGCTGTCTTGCTGTCAGAATAGTCTGATGATGGAATTGTTTTACTGGTCTATTGTACTGGCTATAATTTGATCCACATTGGATGCAGTGACAATTCTTCTCTCCAAGCCCTGCATTCAAAACTTTTTTCTATTAATCAGCTCTCACTGAGCACAAAAATCACCCTTTGCCTAAGAGCAGAGCCTAAGAAAACATTCAGGGGAATTTTTAAAGCATGCACAGCCTTTGCAGGGCTGTGCTCAGAAAATATTAAACATGGCTGGAGTGGCTTGTACCATTGTTTTATTTTCTATACTGTCCAGCAGTATTATTTCTTTCAGATTTAAAATTAACACGATCACCAGAACATGTTCTGACACATAAAGTGCCATCTAAAATTAACCATAAAAGGAAGATGAAAAAAGCATAAAATTGCCAGCACGGAATATGCATATTTATTTTTGAAATATCTAGATTAAACTGGAGATTTTAGAGACATTTTGGTTATCCAATATTTCTAAGCATACCTAAGGATTTCTAAAACAAACTGCTTAGAGTTTGTCTATACTTTTGTTTTGGAGTATTTCAATCCTATTTTCAGATATTTTATGATTATTTCTCTGTTCCTTTAAGTGCTATAAGACCATTTCAATTAATATAAGAGATTCCACATGGACCAGAACTCCCAGAACCTTCTACACCACACCCTTTTTCAACCTTTGAATTGGATTTGTGTTAGAACTAGGAATCACTAGGCACTGCTAGAGGCTACAGTCCTTTCTGAAAGACATTCTATTGATAATTTTTTGAGTGTCATGTTAAAATGCCACAAGCCTTGTCTAAAAAAGTGCTAAGTACTCTCACAGATAGCCAAATATTAGGGTAAGCTTTTCACAGAGGAGTTCTAAAGTTGCTGCATCACATTTTTCCCTGTGCAAGTTACAGCAGAGTTCTACAGGGCCCCCTGGTACCCGCTGAACACCCAAGCACAGAGACCTTTATCACCCTCTGCTTCATTAAGACTGGCACAGATATGACAATAGCCTAAAACAGGGTACACAGAGCCACTGGCAGAAATTTCTGGGCTGCATTTAGCACAGCTCTGTGGTGACAGGCTGGTACAAGGAACCACAGCAGGGCAAACCACAGAGCTGAATGCTCAGCAATTAAACAGCTGCACTCTGCACCTTGAAGGAACCAATGTCTCCTGTACAGCTTGATTTATTAGATGACAATTTTTTTGGAGCACTCCTCCTCCTGCATGGGTTTGTGCAAAGAGCACCACAGACAGCTGGGAGCTGTACAACCAACCTTCTGTTTATCCAAACTGCACTTATGTTTGTTGTAGCTTTGCAGGTGGAGGTTTCACCCAACACTTCCTGCACTATAACAGGAGTGTGTGTGAGTTTGAGGTGAGGAGCAGTAGCAGAGACCATGCCACTGCCTCCTGTCCATAGGTACCAGTTTCCCTGTTAGACACTCATCTCCCTGTCTCTTACTGAAAACACACAGGAGCTGTCACTGCTCTCCCAGACTCCTCCAGACATTTAGATCCCGAAGGGCAGCCTCCAAGGAAGGTTGTGAGGAGATGTGGGGGTGCCTGGACACAAAGACTGGTTGTAACCTGCTGAATCCATCCTCAGGGTAAGCAGGAGGGGCAAGCTGAAGCGTCAGGAATTTTAAACGTAGCAACCTCCTTTAATACCTGAATGATGGACTGTAACTCCTGGATTTTGGTCTTCATCATCTCATTTTCCCGCTCCAGCTCCAGAACCTGTTCCTTTTTGGGCCGGTTTTCAATGTCATTTTTCAGCTTCAAAGACTGGTTCCTCTCCAGCTTGCACTCCTCCTCCACCTTGTTCAAGCGATGCTTCAGCTGGTCAATCTGGAGCAGTGAAAAGGAGAAACAGGAAAGGAAGGGAAAAGATTGCTCCGATAACACTCTCACTTCCAGGTGAAAACATACTGTCATAGATGAAAAGATATCTTAAACTGTGAATGCTAACAAGGAGCAGACAATTGGGTGTATGGGAATGTGTGTTGAATGTCCACAACTGAACTGCTGAACTCTCAAAGCACAAACCTGCTACTTGCCAGCTACAGCTGGTATGGGCTGCTTGTGAATTTTTAGAACACCTGGACTAAAAAAAAAAAAAAAAAAGTGGCACATCCTCAATCCTCCAATGAATAAAGAGATATGAAACAGAACTAACACTTAGGAGGCTGACCACGCACTGAGCTTTTTGCACAGGAAAAACAAGAGCTTTGAGTTCTGGATAGGAAAGAAGGGTTCCCAAAAAATAAAAAGTGATGTCTTATGTAAAATATTTGATATCATGGGTTCAAAGTTAAAATGCAGCATCCACTATGGGTAGTTGTTTGCTCCATCTCATCTGTCACACACACACAAGCACGAATTCTATGGCACTTCAAGTGCTTCTCTGTATTTCCTAAATTACCTCAACCTGTTCCAATGCTCTATGTGAGACTTTTTGAATAGACCTCCAGCAAAACTGGACAACTGATAACAGTAATACCAAGATATTACTGAGCCTCAAAAGTAAAATTTTGTTTTTAGCAAACAATTATGTCTTTTAAATTTTATTTTTATTTCTGTTCTGCTCATCCATTGCAAGTATGTAAATTATCTGCTATTAATACACATCACTGCAGTTGGCATTTCTGTACAGTCATGCCTCTAATCATCTGGGTAAGCACAGCAGATGAGAGCTCTGCACCTTTCTCCTGTCAGAGAAGGTCTTGTTTTGTCAGATGCCACTGGCACCCTCCATTGCTGCTCCTGACTGAAGCCCCTCAGAGCATTTCTCTCACCTCTAACTGGAGGTCTCGGCTCCTTATCACGGCCATGCTCTTCTCGTCACTCAGCTGGGCGTATCTCATGGCCAGATTGTAGTTCTCATCCTTCACCTTCACCAGCTCGTCGTTGTAGTTGTTCCTCTCCTCCTTCATCTTGTTGTACCTCTCCTGGAAGGTCAGCAGCTCTATCTTGTTCAGCTTGAGCTGCTTTCGCTCGTCCTCCAGCTGCCGAGACTTGGCCAGGAGTTCGCAGCGCTGCACGTCCTTCGTCTTCACTTGCTGCTGGAGCTTAATGATCTCATTCATTAGGAAATGGGTAAGGCCTTCGTGTCCCTCCTCCACTGAAAGTGTTTGAACAGCTTGTCAATGTCTAGTAAAGCATCTTATTTAAGTTATTTTATTAATAAGGTAATAAGTAGGATCAGCAGGACTGAGAAACAAACGGCCCAGAGTATGCACAGAGGGGCAGAATTTGCACAAATTCATACACATTTGTATATCTAACTGGGAACAGTACAAATGTTCCACAGCACACTGCTATCAGAATCACAATATAGGCACATACGGCTTGTCTGGATAGAAGATGAAGCCTTTACATTTGTCCTGTTTTGACTGAGCCTGTGGAAACAGCACAAACATTGTAAAATGAATCTATACAAGTACAATTAATGTGAATGCCTCAAATGTGCTGTCCACAGTTCCAGTGTTCCTTCCTCTTGGGATTTCTGGTAATGCCTGTCATTCATTTTGAAGCTCTTCAGCTCTTTTCAAACAGCTGATATGTCCCTTCTCTTTATATATTACCTGTTGCTATCATGTTTTGCTTTGAAGGGGATTGAAAAACTGCAGAATGCTACAACAAGATTAGCTTTTATTTCCATTTCCTGCCTGAAAAAAACAAACTCAGTTTCCAAAACAGTCTTTATTTCAACAGGCTCCTCCGTGATTGATTCTACTCACCAACAATAGTGGAAAATCTCCGTGTGGGTTCTTTCCCTGTTACCAGTTTGTAGAGCTCAGGGTAGTAGAACTCCAGGCTCTCTAAGAAAACCACGTAGCCCCTTTGGCCCTTGGTGTGGAGGATGTCCAGCAGTCGACCTAAGGACAGACAGAGAGGTGACACATCAGCACCATCAGCAAGCACCATATCCCTGAAGTCAACTCTGCTTAAGGTTCATCTCTGCCACAGCAATGGGCTGAGCAAAATCTGGCTGATTAACTGAGTTCAGCTGAACTCATAAAGCAATGGCTCCAATTCCTTATGTTTGTGGTGATGGTTATTCTGAAGGAGTGCTGGCAAACTGGTCTCTGGAACAGAGATTTTAAAAGACTCATTATTCAGTAGAGCCTTTACAGGCAAGGATGGCAAGTCCTTCAAATCACGAGGTACAGCAAGACAGCTGGAGAGCTACTCCTGGAATGGCACTGGCTGCTGCTCTGTATTAACTGAAATATTTGCCAAGGCTTTGATGGGAACATGAACCCCAAGAGCTCCAGTCTGCACAGCACTGCAAAGAGTCTTTGTTATCAAAATAGCAGCAGCAGAATCCCTCCCTATATTAAATCTTCCACAAATGAGATATAGGGTTTCCATTTGATAATCTGTAACTGGATAGAGGCTCCCTCCAGGCTTAGCAAAGCAATGCCGTTCGCAAAGGGATGCAGATGCAGCCATTCACCAAATAATTACCTGCTCTGTTAATTTTGGAGGGCAGCATAAGTGAGTTGAGCACCTCATCCTCGTCCTGCTCGTCGATGACCTTGCACTGCCGCAGGTAGGGGGTCAGTTTGGCCGGGTTGATGTACCGGCTCAGCATGTGCCGGTTGCATTCCACGTTCTCCCACAAAGCCTCCTCCTCATCTTTCAGTGTCTCCAGGCAGTCATCCATCTCTGGCTCTCCTCCTTAACAAGGGAAACAATTGGCAAATGAACACCAAACAGGACAGCTTCAACCCCGGCACTTTTTTTGTGCTTCCATGTCCTGTAGGATGAGCTTGGAACCATTCCTGACTAATACTGAAACTGTTTGAAGTGCAGCCTGTCCACAGCTCGTCTGGGGAGTGGCAGTTCACAGAAGTGCTGTCTCCAGTCTATGAACTATTGCTCCTCGCTCTCCAGTGATGGAGCTGCACTCAGCCAACCCCATGAAGGTCTCTGCAAGTCAGAGAATCCCTCTGCTCAACAGGAGCAGTGGCAAAGGGCACCGTGCAAGGCAGGAAGGGAATGAACCTGCAGAGCTCTGAGCAGAGACAAATACTTGCTGCAGGCAAGGAAGGCTTTCATCCTCCCCTCCTTTGCTCCTCCCAACTGTACCCATGTGAACCTGCATATATGTGATGAGCCAACACCTGTAAATGGCTGCACACAAGGAGAGTTAACTCATGAGTAGGCAGCTCTGCAGCCAGGTTGGGATGGTCTGAGGGGTGTGAGTGCAAGCACCTGTGAGCTCAGACCTTGCCTTTCCCCCGTGAGTGGGTAGGTATGAGCACTGCATCACTGCAGGCTGAAAATGTTCTTGACTCATGCAAATGTTGTCACATGATTTCTGAGTGCTTGATAAGCAATTTCCTGCCAACTCCTAATTTGTACCCACCTCATCAGAGAAGGTTACAAGGCAGCCAACACTGAGGCAAGAGAACTTGTACTGAAGTTAAAACTAAAGAAACTTTGCAAAAAAAAAAAAAAAACAACACAAAAACTTTCCTCCTTTATTCTGTAACAAACGTTAACCTTTAAACAAATCCTATTTTTGCATTCTAACTTTCACAGGATCTTGTGATCCAGGTGGCACACGAAACACAAGCTTCCATTTCAAGTTATCTTACCCCATCAGAGACTGTGGTGAAACAAGAACGTGCAGTTCTTGGGTCATAGGAGACGAGAGCTGTGCTTTATGAGGCTTTGCTGGTAATCAGTAACTAAAGACCTCAAAAGCAACATGTTTTTCTCAGCTTCCAGCTTCAGGAACTGCACAGCAGCCTGTGTTACACTGAGCATCCCTGGGCAAAACCAGCTTGTAAACTGTAAAGCCAAGGGCTCATTTTGAAAACTAAAGCCAAAAGTGCTAATCTGCTAAATAGTGTGTTTGTCAGTGTTCTTGCATGATGAACTATAGAATATTCCTACCAAAAAAAAAATAAAATAAAGCACGTTCTCTTCTTGATGCTTTTAAAAGCTTCCCCAATTTGTCAAAAATCATAGTCTGGGTTTCAGTATCCCTATGAGAAAAGTTTGGATGGGTTCTTCATAGTATGGACAGCTAGAGGAGAATTGCCAGGAGCTCTGCTCTTCTCCTGTACTCCAGCAGCTTTCCCAGAGTTCTTTCCATTGCAGTTTCACATTTTGGGAACCACTTATTCTGCATTTGCTCTGTAGATTCATTACTCCAGTGGCTGTTATTAAATGTTCTGGGAGAGACAATGGTCCTCAGAGGGTGAAGAAGACCAGGGCTGCTCAGTGGGATCCAGAATCATGGGGGCATGGCTGTAGCTGTGGGAAAAACCTCCCTGTCTTATGAACTCCACACAAGCTGCATGAAATTCTCACTGAAAGCCACAGTATTTGTGCAGGGTAAAGATGACACTGCAGGAACAATCATAATAAAGGTAAAACAACAGAGAAAAAGCTTTCTAAAGCTGGTAGCAGTGGGAGGAATGCTGAAGGTGAAAGAGCCTCATCTGAAGTCCACACACATTCTCATGAACCTCACTCTCCACCACTTATTCTGGAAGTAACTATTTCACTTCAAAGGTGAATTTAACAAACACCACATAATTGGAGAAGGTGAACTTTTGGGAGTAGAAGGCAGTGAAGCAGAAGGTCACACAGTACCTCAGTCATCTCACAGCCACAGCCACCTTCTGCAGCTAAAAAAAGGAGTGTGGCAGGCCCTTTAATTCTGGAGTGCTGCGGGGAGCTCACAGATGGACCTCAGAGTGCAAAGGAAGCACTTGCCTGAATTCCATAAAATGCAAGATATCCTGTAATCTGCTGCACTGAACCAGAAATTATTGCACACTGTCAGCAGTTCCCTCAGGACATTAGTAAGGGATTTCTCCATTAAATGATTCCAAGAAGAGTTCACTCATCAGCGTAATTCTCAACATGAACACGCTTTTTTTTTTTACCTGGCATTAAAAATACCTTTATCAAATAGTCCCTCGTGTATGGGCATAATACATCCATACTGTTATTTTGGGGACATAATGTTTAATGGGAAAGTAATAAGTATATTGCATGAGTGGCTAAGAATTCTAAAAGGAGATTTCTGGTAGCAAACCCCTGTTAAACACAGTCTATTATCAGGAGCAAGTCCCGAGAAATGACATTTAGTGGAGTGGTCCTTCACTGCCCTGTAGGAATGTCAGAATCTTCCTTTTACTTTCTTCTCTGGAATTCCACCTTGGAAATGCCAGAAGGACAGCTGAGCTCTGTCCTAACTCCCTGTGCAGTTCATCCCCTGCCAGGGAGGTGTAAGAGGGATCACTCCTCTCTCTCCTAGAGCTTCAGGCATTGCCTTTGTTGTGTTTCTTTGGCCAGGCTGGTGCACAACCCCCACATAACTCCACTGTCCTGTGGAGCCACTCCAGAGAAAATAGCCATGGACAGCTGATATTAGTGCAGCACCCCTCCTAATGAGCAAATAGTTATTTGATTTAGTATTTAATATAATACTGAATAGGAAACAAAATGTTTGCTATTGGTGGGAATTTTGGTGTGCTGGTCAAAAACCTGCATGTAACAACTAAAACTCAGTGGGAAACCAATAAAGGTTTTGTATTACTGGCTTTAATTTCAAAAGTTTTTCAGCAGCACATGCATTTTCTAGGCATTTAAAGGCCCTTATTCCCTTATTCTGTCCTTTGTTCATATGATGATATTGCAGAAAACTTGTTTTCATTTATAAAATTAAAGATGACAGATTTAATTTTTTTTTCAAATGTGTAATCCCTTATTTAACCTGATTTTTATCATCATTGTCTACTTTCTGATTCCAACACCTCTTGAGCTGTAACCTAACACATTCAGGAGTTGTGATATGTCACAGAAATACTATGGCATCCATTACAAATCACAGGTGTGAAGTCACAGACTTGGACTGACTTCAACAGGCATTAACCAAAAAGAAATCAGAATCACCACAGCAGTTAAAAAATTGTTCTCCTGCTGCTCCTTTTGGTAGTTAGTACACAAAATTGCTTTTAACTGCAGGAGAGCTTAATCCAGTAATAATCTCAGCTAGTTCCATCTATTTCAAAGGTCTCTGTAGACACAGACAAAAGAGAGAATCCCTTTTTACATTAAAAGGAACACTCTGCTTCCTTGTCTCCTTTTCTCTCCAAGGGACTATCCCTCTCCTGTTACACACAAATGAATTGTTCTATGTGTTTGCTATTTTTTTCTGTTATATTTTTCAGCAGAACAAATCACCTTGCAGTTGAAGCTGCTCCCTGTTCTCACTCAGACTCCACACTCTCATATGTCAGTGACACTCTCTGCTGATCAAGGGAATAAAGCCTGCAGGCTTCAGACCCAGGGGTTCTATAAAGTCCTCATCATCAGGTCACATCCAAAGCTTCTTTTTTTTTTTTTTTCATGATTCGTTTCGTGATGGTGCAAAAATTAACCCTTCAGCTGTTTAATTATTTGCATCCCCGTGCTCTGAATTCCTGTCAGCCTGTCAATACTGAGGAATCCCCGTGCTGCAGATGCAGGTTGCAGCTCGGGTTTCTGATTTCCTGCTATCTCCTTTGTGGAATATGAAAAAAGAAAAAGGGTTTTGTCCTCGTGCTGAGAAGCAGGAGGAAGTTTACTTTGGAACAGGTAATCAATTGGAGAGTTTTGGACTTCTGCGTTTGTCACAGATGTTCCCAGACTGGCAGAATTTAAAAAGTAACCACAGCACACAAAATGTTTTGCAAATTATACATTAATAAGAACAGAAGTTTATGGTAAATACTAAATATATATATATAAACTAGAAAGAATGACATATAAATCATCACACTTTAAACCAAAAATAAAGATGCAAATAGCACTCCAAACCTGTGTATATAATTATCCTCAGCATTTTGAGGGTGTTGTATTACACCCTCTCCCCCTGCACATCTCTAGATTCCATGGGGCAATGCCCTTTCTCCCTCAAGTTTGTACAGCACCTCACATGACAAAGTATAACAATTGGGTGATTTTCTCAAAAGCTGCTTGTGTGGATGTGTGCAGATTTGCAGCATCAGAGAACCACAAAACCACAAAGGGATTTAGAGCTATTTTTACTTTTAGAGGAAAGTCACAGTTTAAAGTGTGATAAGGAAATTATTTTCCTTTGCTTCAGGACAGGAGAGCTCTGTGTGCCCTGTGGGCTTTCCAAAATGCTGAATACCAGCAGCTTCCAATTATTTTGGTGGCACTGCTGGATGTTCTGTGGTACTGAAAACCACTTTTAAAAGGCTTAAACATTGATAAAAAAGACTAAATTTGCTTACCTATACTTGTAATTTTTTTCAATGCAGGTGTCTACACCTGGGCTCCCAAAGGAGAGGAGACAGTGTCTTCACCTGCCTTTAGGAATTTGCACTTTGTATTCATTCTTTCTACCTCAGTGTCCCCACCTGAAAACAAGGCTGGTAATAGGTATGTTTGTGACAAGGTAGGACTTGCAAATTAGTGATTGCAAAGCACATGGAACCACCAAGATGGGAAGGCCCTAGAAAAACATTTATTATTAGTGAAATTTTATTAGTTTATACTTTGCAGGCCCCAGAACATTTTCTGAAGCCACAGCACTGCTGGATGAGCTGGGCTGTATTTCTGTTTTGGGTCACAGTGTATATGGAAAGAACCATTCTGTCTATCTCAGAACCCCTTTTTTATAGAAAATATTCAACCAGCTTACTTATTTC